GATGATTAAGTTTATGTCAATTTGGCTGGGCCACAGGGTGCCCAGATATTTGGCCAAACATTATTGTGGGTGTTTCTGTGAGGATGTTTTGAATAAGATTAAAATTTAAACTGGTAGACTTTGAGTGATGCAGATTGCCCCATTGGGTGGGCCTCATCTAATCAGTTGAAGGCTAAGCAAGAGAGAATTCTTCAGCAGACTGCTTTCAGATTTCACGTGCAACATCAGTTCTTCTGGTTCTGCAACAAATTGACTTCAGACTTGAACTGGAACATTGGCTCTCCTTGGTCTTCAGCTTGCTGGCCTACCCTGCAGATTCCAGATTGCCAGCCTCCGTAATTGTGTGAACCAATTCCCTATAATAAAACTCTTTCTATATATACACACATCTGTTTTAGCCCATTTCTGTTAATTATAACAGAATACACAGAACTGGGTACTTTGTAAGAAAATGAAATTTATTGCTTACAGTTTCAGAGGCTGGAAGTACAAAGTCCAGAGAACACATCTGGTAAGGGTCTTCTCTGGTGGTGGCTTTGCAGCTATGCAGGGGTCTCACATGGCAGAAAATGGGGTAGAGAGAGATAGTTCCTTGTGCACTCTCCTTGTAAAACCCTCAGAACTATGTCCACTATTCCAAAAATGGATCAATCCACTCATGAGGGTACAGTCCTTACAATCCAATCACCTCTCCAAGGCCCCACATTTCAATTACTATAATAGGATTGCATACCCTCAACAGTTACAGTGGAAATTAAGCTTCTAATATATGAACTTTGGGGGGCACAATTCGATCCACAGACAACGTTCTATTGTTTTTTCTCTAGAGAACCCTAATACAAGCACAACAGGGGAAATGTATATAGTGAGCTTCTAAGGTACTTGTCATGTTCTATTTAGCGGGTGGTAGATACCTGGGTGTTTTTATTTTTTAAACTGCACATACATTTTACACATTTTCTTGTGTGCTTGATTCTTTTCACAATTAAAAACACTTTTAAAAAACCTAAGGTTGGCATTAAACCCATCTATTTGCCAAAGTTCACATCTTAACAATTCTTGAAGATTTAAATCAACTAACCTATGCCTGATAAACCTGTCTGTAGCCAGAGATTATATTAACTTCATTAGGTTTGGCAGACTTAAGTGAATTATGGATGATAGAGCTGTAATGGGTCATTTAACAGAAATTAGGAATGCTTTGGGGTTGACGTTATAAGATGACAATGCCTCACACTACTGAGAGACACCTTATCCAAATAAATAATGGTGTCCTCTCATGTGGTGTCATATCATGTATTATGTAGTTTTTCTATCATCCATCCTCATCCTCTAGTTTCAGGGTGAATTCTAACTGTGGAAGGACACTTCTGAAAGCCAGAAATATCCTTGCTCTTTCAACTTTCTGAGGACCCAATGTGTACTAAGGGTGATATCGTATGAGGAGAATAAAAAGTATTCCCAGCACTACAACATGCCAAAGTGTTTGACTTTGGGTAAGTTTTAGCATCTCACATTAAAACATTTTGAAGCCTTGATACCAAATTTACATTTCAAAGGCAACATTCTTTGAGTTTTATAACAAATTGAGAAAAAATTGGAATTATTCAATAATATGTAGTATGTATGTTAAAAATGAGAATCAAGATGGGAACCATGGAAAGCAAAGCAATTGTAGGTAGAGCTGAGCAATTTCATGGCCATCTTTCCATATAAATCATTTGAAAGTAAATACATAAATTTTAATGTATCCAATTTCCAGGGATACATTTATGTGCATATAAATTCAAGTATTTGCCATCTGTGTCACAAAATATGAGAAGAAACTTCAGAAGTCATTAGACAAAACAGGTCACAAAACTAATTTATCTTCTTTGAATTTTTTAAAATTTATTCCCTAAATATTAAAAGTATGCTTGTTGTAGAAAACCTGGAGAATATTTTTAAAATCACGAAGAAAATAAAAACCACTGGTAATTTCATTTATGGGAGAAAATTCCTAACCAAAGAAGTGAAGGTAGTATTGATAGTAACAAGAGCAGCACCCTTCCCCCAAACCCAGCCCTTAGTATTTGGTAAGTCCATAGCTACATTTGCTTATATCTGTTCTAAACATTTCCACAATATGAGCTGTGAAATAGGTGATATTCCTTTCACTTAACCCTAAAAAGGCCTTGCTTTCATTGCTACTAGCACATGGTAGAATAACAATGAAATCCAGATTTGATCACTTCTCACTATACATAATACTGCCTTCAAGTAAAAAAATTCTCATGGCTGGCTCACACTTGAAATAAAACCTACTGCCATATTTACTGTTAATGAGATGATTTTTAAAAAGCATGATTTAACTTAGACTGCAATTGTAATGTTTCCTACTTTCTTTTGAAAGTGACTGAAATATTACTATTCTGTATTAAAACCCATGTGAAATCAAAGCAAGTAACTTCATAGGGGATAGTGTTTCAAGCATGTAACAAAGTCCAATTAAGAAAAATTTAAGATGTATTGCATTCCTCACACATTCAACCACGTATCTCAAGCTGTTTTTCTATTTTGGTAGTGACTTTTTTCTGAATTCTTATTCTGCAGTCTGGTATACATTTGAGGCCTATAGCATATACTTGTGAGTTATAGGTATAATCTGTGACACAGAACAGAAAGTCTCACAAGATTGAAATGTTTTACATGTTGGGCTCATTAAAAGCATGCCCTAAAGATTCCACACAATCTAAAGTACATCAAAAATACACCTATTAGTTTCAATACATCAGAAGTAAAGATAAAATAGACTGATTATGTAAGTTGTGATTCACTTATTGATACAATAGAATAAATGCAGCCAAAGAAAGAACACTTAGTTCCTTCTTTTTGGTACTCTGCAGGATATGGTGGGGCTGGGGGGGGGAGAGGGTAGTGGGAATCTTTGACCAGGTGCAGTGGCCTACAAGGTCACTGACATCAGGGTCCGGGGCCTACGGGTCTGGGGATGCTCATCTGGTTCATGGAGGCCTGTGTGCTGCGGGGGGAGAGGGTAGTGGGAATCTTTGACCAGGTGCAGTGGCCTACAAGGTCACGGACATCAGGGTCCGGGGCCTACGGGTCTGGGGATGCTCATCTGGTTCATGGAGGCCTGTGTGAGGAGGGAAGCAGGGCACCTCTTGCTTGGTATAATCAGAAGAACAGTTCTTAAAGATAAGTGGAACAAGTGAGTAAATACACTGAGAATAATGCGAACTAGCGTTCTGTCAGACAAAGGAGATAGAAGTACGGAAAGAAGGAAGCTAACATAAATCCTGTACAGCAAGACTGGAATTGGAGGTATCAATGTGAACTTACGGTTTCTTATACATAGAAATGTCAAAGATGTCAAGATCATGAAAGACAATTAATGACTGAGGAACTGTTCCAGATTAAGGCTAAAGCAATGTGGTGATAAACACCATGGAGTAATTCTAGACTGAACAGACCTACAAAGAATATTTCTGGGGGGCTGGCTGGTTAGTTAGCTAAGTTGGTTACAGCACAGTGTTGTAACACCAAGGGCAAGGGTTCAAATCCCCATACTGGCCAGCTACCAGAAAAAAAGAGTTACTGGGACAGCTGATGAAATTTAATTGTGGTCTATAAATTAGATAGTATTGAGTCAATGTTAATTTCTTGATTTTGATGATTATATTATGGGGTATGTGGAACTGCATCCTTATTTTTAGAAAGCATACACTGAAGTGTACATACCAAGTAGGTGATGAAACGTCACGGCTGCAACTTACTCTTAAATGGTTCAGAAAAAAAGCATATTTATCTTGTGTGTATGTAAAGAAAGACAAAATGATAGGATAAAATGGCTAAATACTCACAATTGGGGCACCTAAAAAGGATAATATAGGTTTTTGGGGTTTTTTTAACGCTATCATGGCAACTTTTCTGTACGATTGTAATTTCAAAATGAATAGTTAAAAAAAGGACATTCATTATAATATGAAGCAAATTCCAAGTGAAAAAAATGTATTATGCTACTTTGTAAATAAAGGCGGGATGGTGAGAGGACGAACATGTAGCCTATGTTGTGTGAATATTTTGTTATATATACAGAGCACCTCTAGAAACATGCAAAAAAACTAATCTACACTGTTTTTTTCCACAGATGGAAAATGGGTGACTAGAGAAGAATAACATTTTTTACTCTCTGAAACTTTAATTTTGTACTATATGAAATGTAGTAACACAGAATGCTTTAATTTGGTAATTGCCAAACGTTAAGTGCCAGGCTAACAACCACCTGGGAAACATTTAAAAATAAATTAGCAGGACTCAATCTCCAAAATTCTATTTTAGTGGGTCCAGAGTAGGACTCAGGTATCAGTAAAAATTCTCCATTAATTCCAAAACATAATATAGTCCGGGAATCGCAAATCATCCAAATCTGATCCTCTCTAAACCCCAAATCCAAGTAAATTAGGAAGTTAGAAACAAATACTTTGTATCTGATGAGCGAATGTTATAATCTGGGGAAAGAATACCCTAAAAGTGAAATCAGAATATCTGAAACCAGGATTTGCACTGATCCCTGAATAGAAGCCAAGTCATACAAGTCTCTCTCTACCTTCTGGTTTCCTTATTAAGGAACTAAAATATAGTTTAGGCTGATGTTACCTGAAAATTACATAATATTAGATAATACATTCAAATATTCTGCACTCTTAACATTTTATATAAATGTATAATATAACAAGATTATAGTTAGTTAAAAAACAATCAGTTGGCATAAGTAGATATGGTATCTGTAACATTCTAGATGTCAAGTGGTGGGCTCACCATATTCATTTTATTGCTGTGTTTTATATCTTATATATACATATATATTAACTATTCTTTTGTACGCATCAGATGTTACATGATAAGAACGTAATTTAAAAAAATTAGAGCAATAAAAGAACAATTAGTTTAGATGTTTGGTTCTTACATTTAAAAGAAGTAAATACAAGAAAACTATGCAAGCATTACATGCTGGCAGTACATATTTATTATTATTCATGAACGGTCAAAAACTTACAAGGCCCACTATTATCACTATAACCACACATGTGAAGTATCACTTAGCAACATGGAGTGTAAGGACAGTTATATATTTATATTAAAAAAATACATGTACACACACTCCCTCAAGTGTTCACCATACACTGCTACAAAAGCAGGCAGCATCAAGTTGTAGAAGTTTTGATATACATAACATGTTGAAATATCTCAAGCATAAAAACCGTAGTGAAGTTCCAAAAATAAAGTTTCTTTCTTCGAACATTTTGATCTGAGCTCAAGCAAAGTAAATAATGAACACCAATGATTTTTATACTATTTCACACACTTAAAATAATCAACATAAAAGGATCAACAATTGCAAAAAACCTGAAAATACGGAGGTTGTGAGAGTAAATGCATTTCATCCGAAAAGAAGTCTACAGCAGATCTGTTTCATCCTGGCTCTCAAATATTTAAGAGTCATAATTTATTATGCTCAAACCCCATGGTAAGCCAGAACAAACAAAATGATAAACAGAAAAAATCATTACTGCAAACAAGGCATCATTGCCCTTTAGTTTCTTTACACAATTTCACTAGTGCAAGAGCATCATTTACCTGAAAGATCATAAGTCACAATTAAAGAATACTCATACAAAACTATTTCCTTTTTTCTTTAAAAAGTGCCACATACCGTACTTTTCATTAAAAAACAAACAAACAAACAAACAAAAAACACAAACTAATGAAAGACTGTCTGTCTCCATCTCTTGTCAATGAGGAAAGGCCATAGTGATTCTTTGATTCCAATTCGAAATGGTGTTCGCTGGCCAATGCCCAAGGTCTCTAATTTGGAACAGTCAAGCTGAGCATTTCGTGGACGCTGTGCTCCTAAGACAGGGCTATCAGTAATCTTTAAAGAAAAATAAAAACAGAAACCCAAAAGTAAATGTAGGGCTATATCTTCAGGTTTTTATTCTCTATTTCATTTTGCCTGTAGTGCAAGAAATCTGATTTGATCATTCCTGGAAAAATAAAATGCCTGCCACAATCAAGACAATACACATTCTATAAACGTAATGAATACTCATAGGCTCCTTTACAAATAATTTATTAATTATAATTATTAAATTAATTTATTTAAATGTAGCACTATAAACTGCCAACATACAAGCAAAGTTCACTTTGATTAATACTGAGAAATGAAGTTATGCAACATGTCCAAAACAACAAGAAAAATGTTGTCAGCAATATACGCTACAGTAATGGATGTAGACTTTCAAAAAGTGAGAAAGTTTTAAATGTCATGTACTTACAGGTCTTAAGTGACTGCTGGGTAGGTTGAAGGCATCTGCAATTGCACATGCCATTTCATACTTAGTCATCTGTTCATTGCCAGACCAGTGAAAGGTTCCCTTAATTGAAGGATCCTAAGAACAAGGACACAAAAAAATCCAAAACATTTTCAACTTTTTGAGTTGAGTGAATGATACATTTGACAAGAAAGCTAATTTACAAGGTACGAGTACTAAAAGGCAACCCTCCTTTTCTGGAATTCTCTCCACAATATATCTAAAATCAAATTTCTATAAATATTCCCAGATAAACACTAAAGAGCAATGTCTAAAATTTAGCCTTAAGAATTTAATAAAGATATAAATGGCTCCAATTTTATTTATTAGTGGAAATTCTAAAAATGGATAGAGATTTGAATGGAAACAAAGTCAATTTAATGAGTATTTTAAGTTATCCTAAGAAACTAAAAACCAATACTTAGAACCATCTTTCAAGATAATCTAATCAGCTAAATATTCTTTTTTTTTTTTTCCTTTTTGTCTTTTTTTTCGTGACCGGCAACGGATCACAACCCTCAGT